TCCTAACTGATAGTTCATTTATGAGGCAGAACAATCCTAGTCTCTTCTGTTTATGACCTTATCAACCTAGGGAAGGATATATAATAGAGGAAGTAAAAATACCAGTTATCTCCAAGTGCCTCTACTTCTTAGTTATTAGGAGATTAGGAAAACTAGAATAGGGAAAAACTCATCTAGTTACCATACCTGGATGAGAGGTGATGACTATGGTTCGATTATCAAGAGTAGATATTGGCTTCTGGAAGCCACATAATGCTTCCACCAGCTGTATGTCCATACACATGAAAAGGTCTTCTCCTCGTCTATATCAATGCAAACATGGCACATATTTACATCTTTCAAACTACCAATGATTAAAAGTACCAGAGTGGGCAACTGCTTTCTTCTTTTTAAACATTTTTTTGGGTACCAGGGATTGAACTCAGGGACACTCAACCATTGAGCTACATCCCCAGCCCTATTTTGTATTTTATTTAAGAGACAGGGTCTCACCGAGTTGCTTAGTGCCTCGCTGTTGCTGAGGCTAGCTTTGAACTCGTGATCCTCCTGCCTCAGGCTCCCGAGCCACTGGGATTATAGGCATGCACCTCGCTGCTTTCTTCTTGAACGATGCAGTTCACATACAGTAACCCCTCCCAATCCCCCTAAAAATGGAACAGAGCTAAGAACTGGGAACAGCAGTTCCTGGACAAGGCTTTAAAATCCTTCCACACATTCTGGTAACCTGTACCACTTAACATTTAAAATAAAGTTTCTTGGAAAAGAAAAAAATTCTCATAAGAATGAGGTTTAAAGAAAGCAAATACAGGGCTGGGGCTGTGGCTCAATGATAGAGCACTGGCCTGGCACTGGATTTGATCCTTAGCACCACATAAAAATCAGTAAAATAAAGGCATTGTATCCATCTACAACGGATTAAAAAACATTTTTTAAAGAAGTAAAAAAAAAAAAAAAAAGTAAAAAAGTAAATAAATAAAAAGAAAGCAAATATACATCAGGAACAGAAAACATTACAGTGTATAAATTTAAACAGACCTGGGCTGGGTCCTAGATTATTTAGGCTCTGTGAAATTAAATAATGGAGACAACAGATTTCAAGGAATAGTAAGAATTTCCTTATTGATGTCATCCTGAACTCGTCAGCATTCCTCATTATTTTTGAGACATTTGTGAAACACCACCCCACATAATCCATTCTAAACCAGTTCTTTGAAGATGTTGTCCCCAATCCTATTATCAGTCTCTCATGTTTCAGCGATGGATATATTTAATATGTTCACTGTTAACGATCAACTTTCTTGTGTTTCAACATAAGTTCATCATAAACTCAATGTTAAATATTTTATAGCAGTAGACCTGAATTTACATACACCTGAGCCCAAACTTCTCTTTTGAGATAGTTTTAGATAGTTACACTTAAAAGCAACTCAATATATCACTAACTCAGGATTGAAAACTGGTGAAAGCACTATGACCTTATGACTGAGGGTAAAATTTTGTCTAGGGATGTTTCCCTCCAAGCACCCACTCATGCTCATAGAAAACATCTCCTAATTGAAATACACCTTTTAAGTTTCAGATTAGGATTTCCAGAAATAACGTTCTAAGGGAAGCTCCTTTAAATATAAAAACAACCAAATATACAATATGTCATTTAAGTATTTACCGAGTAAAAACAGCATGGTCCTTCTGATCTAACACAATGATAATATCTCCTGGTTCCAGTCCTGGCTCTTGGTCTCCTTCACCATGGAATGTTATCTTTTGTCCATCTTTCATGCCTAAAAACAAGAGAACAACATGTACTTTTGCTGAATATCCATCCATCACTGAGGTGAGAACTGCAAAATTTACTAAAACACACAGATTTGTTTGTGTATACATGAAAAACAAATGCTAAAATCTTGTGGATGGTAAATTATCAGAGAAATGTCTAATGACTTCTTAATCAGTTCAGTTTGTTACTAAAGAAAGCTATCAAATAGAAAACAAACTCTAGAAGCAAACAGACAAGACTTCAAAGCTCAGAGCTGCTATTTAGTGGCTGGACTACTCTGGGGAACTAAGTTGCATAACCTCTCTAAGTTTCAACTTTCCCAAAGAGACACCTAACTCATTAGAGCTTTTGAGAGGATTTAAGTAAAAAACGCCTATGCTATCACATTAAGGGAGGAAAAAAAAAAAAGGGACAGGGCCATCAAGTTATACACAAAAGTACAAAGCAACTGTGCAAACTGCTCCCCACCCCAAAATACCTAGGCCAGTACCAAACTGGCAGATGGTAAACATTATAGCCAATAAATGTTAATTACTTCCACTATCACATTTAAGAATCTTTTCCAAGAGGCTTGCATCATGGCCCAGTGGTAGAGCACTTGCCTAGCATGTGAGGCACTGGGTTTGATTCTCAGCATCGCATACAAATAAATGAATAAAATAAAGGTCCATCAACATCTTAAAAAAAAAATTTAAAACAAGGCTTTTTCAAGTTATTTATATTAAGTCTAACAGTAATAAATCAACTTTCTTTTCACTATTGTACCATTTATAATAGAGTATCTAGATATAAACTAAAAATATTTAATATGTGCAATATTGGGTCTAAGGGTATAGCTTGATGGTAGAACACTTGTTTGGCATATGCATGCAAGGCTCTGGTTTCGATCCTTCAATACTACAGCAATAAAAATACTACTGGGAAGGGGGGAAGAGGTTTAGTGGCCAATGTCAAAAACACAGATGGGGGCCTGGGGATATAGGTCAGTTGGTAGAGTGCTTGCCTCACATGCATAAGGCTCTGGGTTCAATCCCCAGCACCACCCCCCCAAAAGAAAAAACACAGGGAAGACGATTTTCCAGCAGGATATTTTTAAAAAGATCAGTATTTTTACTGATTCTCCTCAACTTCTATTCCTCTCTGCCCCATATACTTTAGTTCAGTAAAGGCTATAACATCTCTAACAACTAATGATTACCAAGGTCACTGAACATAAACAATTGTGATTCCACATTTTAGAAATAAGCATACATATGCATACATAAACGTCCACTCCATACAAATACAGTCAACAGTACAATGGATTTCCATAGATTAATCGAGATTCCATGGTTAACCTATCATTAATATTTTATGTATTGTACTTCCACATGTTCTCCCCACGTTATTCTGAAGCAAAATTAATCCATAAATACTCCAGTATGGACTTAAAACCAATACCGATCAGTACTGACAAAATTTAATAATCTGTCTTTAAACTATATACTAGCAAAGTAATTGTCTTGTTACATCAGTAAAACAGTTAAATTCAGCTAATTTTTCTTGGTTGTTCTCAATGTAAAGAGCACACCATTAATAGCATCATTTGCAATCAATGCTCTAAGTATATATTGCTGTGTTTAAGAGAAGACATCAAACTAAAGAGAAAAACTCAGCACAAACCCTATTCATCATGGGCCAGTTAAATTCATTTGTAAATCAAATTTATAAAAATACGTAAAAGTTACCTGGTTAATTAAAAATTTTTGTGAGAGGGCAGTTACCATGATTTACATGATAGACTTTATATATATATATATTTATTCTACATCTTCCCGATAATATATATAACTATAGTTATACCTTGATTGGCCAGGGAAGCCAATATTAAAACACCACAGAAATACCAATTTCTACTTCTTCCTGATAATATATATATATATATATATAACTATAGTTATACCTTGATACCAGCAGGAAACTGGTCCTTGATCTGGCTCAAACACCAAAACTGAGGATGCTAAAGTCCCTTATACAATAAAATGATGTAGCATTTGCATATAACCTATGCACATCTTCCTGCACACTTAATCATGTCTAAATTACTTGTAACATAGTACAATTAAGTTGCAAATAGTTTTTGTATTACATTGTTTTAAGAAGCGATGACAAGGGGGGAAAAAATCTATACATATTCAGTACAATGAATATTGTACTGAATATATATTGTATTGAATATATACAGTCCCCAAATATTTTCAACCCAAAGTTGGCTAAATCTGCAGATGCACAACAAAGGGTAACTTTAATATAACTACTTAATTAATGTGAGTTGTATATTACTATGGAAAGATGCTCATACTATCAGTTCCAGTTTGACAGGTACAATACTAGTTTCATTTTATAAAAGCACTCTGAAAGAGATTATTACCATAATGTTGACTGTTTCACAGAATTACACATAACCAATTTTTCTCTGGGGTTATACATATTTCTAAAATGAACATGCATTGCTGTAATACATCTAAAATTTTAAAATAAACCAACAAAATTAAGAGAATGACAAAAATAGTTTAATCTTAAAATGCATAAATATAAAAAAGTTACATAGTTATAACCTAGAGCCCAATAGGTAGAAACTGAGAGGGATAGCATAAAACTTCAAAAGCCAAAAAACCAGAATGAGTCATCTAAATCCTTACAAATCAATTAAGAAACGGAACATTATGACAGGCATGGTAGCATACACCTACAGTACCAGTTAGTCACAAGACTGAGGCAGGGGGATGGCTTAAGCCCAGGGGTTTGATGGCACCTGGGCAACACATTGAGATGTTTTTCAAAGAAAACGGGGCAAAGAAAAAAGGGAACAAGAAATTCAGCATTTTAATACAATAATGGAGAAGAGTCAATTAAGAAGTGGACAAATAAGAACATTTAAACATGTTCTTAAGATGAATTTTTTTTTGATAATACAATTTTCTTTATTAAAAATAATTTACAGCATCAGTAACATATACACAATTGTCATCAACTGAACTTTGCCTCCAATATATTTCTATACAATACTTAACATTATTGAACTTAAAACTGCTATACTGTTTTGTTGGCTTTTAAATAATAGACAATGATTTATAGATACATGAGATATATGGTTCTATAGCCACATATTGTGTGTAAAATTGATAGAAACATCAGCACTGTCACCCTTTAGGGGGAAAAAAATCAAAACAAAAAAACACTAAGAAAGCCAAAGTCCATCCCCTTCCCCCCCCACTTTTTATACTCCAAATCAAACTAAGATAAGGCATTTGGGGAAATCGCAGGGGTCAGCACATCCGGAGTGCAATGGATAAGCCTCGCCCTGGGAAAACCACCTTCCTGATCATGGTATCTCCCCTGCCAGGTAAGTATCTTAAGATGAATTTTAACGAGGCCATTCTTCATTTAAACCTTTCTCTCCTCCCAAATCCTTAAAAGTATGCATATCTTTTAATCTAATAATTCTTAAAGATATTAAGAATGGGTACACAGCTTAACTGTAATTTAATTTTAAAAGGTCAAAAGAATTCTGGTGCAACAGGAATTAAGTTTGCATGGGACATTATTCAATCACTTATGCCAGAAAAATGACCCTCTTACATTGAAGGGTTTCTGAATCTTCCTAATTAATAACAGTGCCTTTTTTTTTTTTTAAGATGTTGATGGACCTTTAGTTTATTCATTTATTTTCATGTGGTGCTGAGAATTGAACCAAGTGCCTCACACATGCTAGACAAGCACTTTACTATTGTGCCACAACCCCACCTATAAAAACAGTATATATTTTTAAATAGTATTATTAAACTTGCCATGGAATTTCCTCTAGGGATCAGAACTCACCTTTGTCAATATGAACTTCCAGAATCTTCTTCTCTCGAACTATCTTCCTTCCATTGCAGCTTTTACATCTATCTTTAGGACTGATCCGTTCCCCATGGCCCTGGCACTCCATGCACACAGACTGAATTTGCTGAACCATTCCAGGTCCTATCTGATGAATTCTTATTTGCATTCCAGTACCTCGGCAGTTGGGACAGCACTCTACTGCTCCTTTCTTACCACCTCGGCCTTAAAGTGTTTAAAAGAAATTTATGTGTAAGTTTAGCAACAGATACAGTAATGCACATCTGTCAAGTTTTACCTATTCAGTCTTTAGCTCCATTTTCAGTTATGTAAAGGAATGTTAAAAGATCATACCTTCACATTTGTCACAAATCACATTCTTTTGCAGAGCCAGTTTTCTTGTTGCACCATTATATAAGTCTTCTAATGTTACTGAGAGCTGGTGCACAACGTTTTTACCTAGAACAAAACACTACTCATTAAAAATCCATCTAAAATGCTATTATCTTATGTTGAAGGCACTATAAAAATTGGTAAAGAATAATGAAAAATGAGCCTCCTAAGGATCCATCACCAGTTGAGCACCTATTCACAGAATGTTTACCACATTATCACATGTGATCGTGGAACTGTGATAAAATTACAGATGAGGAAAATTGGGTCAGAGACTCACATGCCCAAGGACACAGATATACTATCTTAGAAATATGGCAATCAAAGATATTACCTCCAAATTCAAGGTTAGCTAAGTAAGCTCATTTCACAAATAATTCAAATACGTATTTCTGTGCCAATGTTTTCTTTGAAGCTTTCACTCAGTGACATTGAGCAACAGAGTCAATTACTTCATCCAAAATTCTTTAGCACAGTAAATTCCTACCAGTCAAGATTGGACAGGGAAGCCAATTAAGACACCACTGAAATATCAATTTCTACTTCTTCCCGATTCAGTAGGAACAGCACATTTACCACTGGGCCAGCGCTGGTTGTTTTAAAGGATAAATTTATCATACCCTTCATAACTGCATTGCTCAACAGAACTTTCTGCAGTAATGGAAATGTTTTAGTTGTACTGTCCAGTATAGCAGCCACTAGTCACATGTGTTTAGTGGGCCCATAAAAGTGTGATGACTACTTCAACTGAAGAATTGCATTTTCTCTTTTATCCCAAATTAATACAAATTTAAAGATCTCCAGGTGGCCTGAGGCTTCAAAGGAGTGTCACACATTACTTTCATATTAGAACAGGGAGTAGAGTTTTGAGATCACATAAGGACAGTATGACAACAGAAATAAAACCATTTCCCAATGGTTAGTTAATAAGTTTCTAGCTAATGATTCCACAAGGACTTTATCCACTGCAACACTATTGCCTTATGCATGACTGAAAAAAGTTCTCAAACTCTTTTCTGGACAATATGCCTATTGAACATTTTAACTTCCTAAATAGAATGTGAAGCATTAACAACTATATCCTTCTGCTCCTAGCTATATCTTTGGGTTCTATTATCACAAACAGTCCATGTAGTTGGTTATGGCATGCTGAAAGCCACCCTTTTCATCAACCTTTTTACAGTACTGGGGACTGAATTCAGGAACCTTCTTCTACCTCTGTGCTACACACCCAAGCCCTTCTTCAATTTGAATCAGGATCTTGCTAAGTTGCTCATGCAGGCCTGGGAGGCTTGTGATGCTCCTGCCTCAGTCCCCAAGTATCTAGAATTACAGGAATATATCACCATTCTCAGCTCACTGTAACTTTTATGTGGAAAGTACAGGCAAGGAAAAAGTAAAAGTTTCTAGAGTTTGGTCAAGTGATAAATTTTAGGCCAATTCTTTATTTTAAAAAAGATAAAAACTACAAATACTTTTCTGTATGACAAACCATCTAATGGTTTATTAAACAAGTGATTCTGGGTTTCTGATTTTGTTTTTAGTAAACTATTAACATAATCCTCTCCTGAAGACCCGTATATAAAAACATCTGCCCTTGCTTGTATAAACTACACAGGGAACAAAGTGAGATTGTCTTCTCTTGACTGGAACACTTATTCCATGTACAGCCTACAGATCACTTTTCTGCTAAATAGTCAATGTACATATTTTGAGAAAACAAAGATGAATCAAGATTAAAAAGATAATGGGCTATATAGTCAATGAGCCTATGTTTTCAATGCTACCTCTACTGTTCCTTTTGCTATGAGCTTGGATAATTTATTTCTGAACTTTAATAACTCACCTGACTGAAAAAGGCACATACCATGGGTTCCAAGGCACAGGAACCAAATAAGATTTGCAAAGCGTTTTAAAACTATGTTGCTATGCTTTGTTCCTTAATTAATGTTTGGTAACCTGAGGGAGTTGGATGTATCCAACCAAGGGCTTTAAAAGCACTCATTTGTTACCATTTGATTGGCTTAGCTATTTTTAGTTACACAAAATCTCATTTATAAAATTACACCAGAAATCAAACAGAAGCAGTTTATGGGTCAATCTACAACATTATACCAACAAGTCAACAAGCATTTAAAAGGAGTGATTTCTCAAAAATTTGTTTGATCAACAGCTAATGAAACTTGCTGCATGTAGATCTTTCTTACCTCTCCTTTCTCTCTGCATCCTTCCTCCTCCTCCAAAAAACATATCAAAGATGTCCATGGGGGAGCCAAAACCACCACCTGCTCCACCCTCCTTAATTGCCTGTTCTCCTCCTTTGTCATATAATTCCCTTTTCTTGGCATCAGAGAGAACTTCATAAGCTTGAGAAATCTGTTTAAACTATTTGAGAAAAGGAGAGTCAATTTTCTTAAAAACAACAACAACAACAACAACAAGCTCAATTTCAGACAGAAATAGAAACACTTTACATATCGGCAAAGAACTACTCAGATGTTCACAAGTTACTTGCCTTTTCTCCTTCATTTGGATTCTTATCAGGGTGGTACTTCAAGGCCAGTTTTCTGTAGGCCTTTTTTAATTCTTCCTGGGTGGCATTGGGTTTGACCCCCAAAACATCATAGTAAGTGGTTTCTTTCACCATTTTCTACAGCCTGAAATAAAAATGCAATTTTAATCAGCTTTCAGCTGGTAGTTTTTAATTAGTAAAGTCAAGAGTAGGGCACAGCAAACTGTTACTTTGTTAAATCTGATTTTAAAAACACCACCTCCGCTAAACTTCACAGAAATGTAACAGTTCCTGATAATTCAGCTACAAGTTCTAGTTAACTAAATGTAAGCGAAAAATCATCAAGGAATTCAAAAGCGTTCTAGCAGCTGGTTCCTTCTCTCCCACACTACAGCTTCCGTAGTGTTAACACGACTGTAATCTGGATTCTTGTGTTCTCCCTTCCCCCTGAGGTGGTGACAACAGTAATCAAAAGGGGCACTAATAGATTCACTCCATTGATTACATTTTCACTGTCTTTACACTGATAAACGCCATACACCATCCCCAAGACCCCGAGGTACATGCGGTGAGGGAGGGGTTTATGGAACTGGTTCCAGAAAGCAAGCCCCCCCCACCGCCGAGTCACAATTATTTGGGAAGGAGCGCTTAACTATATTTTTGTCACATTGCTTAAAACCTCCCTACTTTCACAGCCGAACCCCTCTCGCCCCTCAGGTGAGCGTAGTTAATCGTCCTTAGGTTCCCCCCTGCACTTGGCGCCGACTGTGAAGGTTTCCTTCCTTTCTCCCTCCCACCCAGGATCGAAGGGGCGGAGGGGGAAGCCCAGCCCTCAACAAAGAGAGGGAGGGGAGACAGGAGAAGCGAAAGCAGCAGCCTCGCTCGGCTCCTCCCGCAGCCCCTCGCCCCTGCCTCACTCCTGCGCGTGCGCGCAGAGTTGCCCACCCGGAGCGAGCGCGGGCGGAGGGGCGCGGGGGCGCGCACGGAGGGGAAACCCAAGGCTGCTCCTTGGAGAGCTTAGGCTGGGTGGGGGAGGCTCAAAAAATGTCTTGGACCCTCTCCCTACGACCTGGGAATAGGTTGCCGGGGCACCACACCGGCCCTCCAAAAAATGGAATTATGGATCTAGGAACCGACAACCCTCCCGCCCACGCGGAGCCAACCGCCTCCCAACTGCGGCTCCATCCAGCTTCCTGGTGCCGCCAACAGCGTTAGCTAGGAGACAGAGGAGCGCGAGGGCTGAAACTCACCGGTGAGCGGGCTGGGGCCGTTGTGAGGGAGTGGGAAGGAGCGCGTAACTGTGTGCAGCCGGGGCAGCCGCCGCTCCTCCGCCTCTCACCGAGCGTTCTGGAAAGTTCCGCCCGGCGCGCCGCAGCCGTCGTCTTTTGTAGCCGGGCTGGGGCGCGTCACTCGCCGGAAGTCCCGCCCCTTCAGCCCCTGCCGCCGCCCCGCGGTTACCCGGCAACGGCGCGGGGGCGCTAGGGCCGGGAAGGGCTGTGCCGAACGGCCTTGTGGGGAAGGGTGCAAGCCCGGGTTCCCGAGGCTCGTGGAATCTTCTGGAGCCCTTAACTCCGCTGTGCGGGCTAGGAAATACTGATGTCTCCTGCTGGAGCCGGTATGGCCT